GAGGGAAGAGAGAGAGAATTGGGGGGGATGATGGAGAGAAAAGACAGAGATGATTTCGTAGTTTTAAGCCCGGTGACTGGCAGTCTAATGGCATCATTTCTAGAAGTGGACACTCAGAAGTGAGACGTGACTTTGGGGAGGACCAGTCAGATTGCCCGCGTGACATCAGCCTTCTCCCAGCAGTGAAGGCTGCCGGGCAGATGCAGGCTTGGCTGTGCTGGCAATCACCTGGCGGGGCCCGTACATGGGAGCCTTTGCTTCTTCATCTGTGTGACCTTCCCTATTTAGAGCATCTTTTGTCACCAAAATCACCTTTTATGACCTTGGAGCTGCATTTCACACTTGCAGCGCATCGCTTCTTGAAATAGTTGTTGTTTTTAAGTTGACTTTCAAAATTCAATTCTCTTTATTTTCTACCACCCCCTTTCCTTTTCTTCAGTGACCTCTCCATCCCAGGCTCCCTTCTGGTCATGGCTCAACTTCCAAACCTACAAAACTCAGCACATCAGACCCTGTGCTGGGATCTTTGTCTGCCCACCCCGAGTTGACTTCACTTCATAGGGTCTCTGGCTTCACTGCCATCTAAACCCTGATTCCCAATATTTCTCTGCAGCCAGCACTCTCAGTATCTTGAATTCTGACTTCAGCATCTAACTGCCTATTTGACAGTTCCACCAGGATGTCAGATACCTCACATTAGCCCGTCCAAAACTGAGCTGATTTCTTCTCTCCAAGAGTGTGCCTTCCACAGTCCTCTTCAGTGCACAGCAGCTCTGTCCCTGACCTCAGCCAAAACACCTTCGTGTCACTAAGATTTGACTATCTCTTCTGCTCCACATTCAAGCCATCAGCAAAGCCTAGATTTTATCTAGAATATCTCCAGAATCTGAGGACTTCTCGTGGCCTGGTCCAGGCCACCAGCCTCTCTCACTGGATGACTGAAATAACTTCGTAACCGGCTTTTTCTTTTCCCTGCCTCTGCCCTTCCCACTGCTTCCCTCCTCTCACCAGCTGCCAAGTCTTTTCTCTACAAGGCAGCCTGAGACTCCTTGCTCAAGTGTACTTAGATCATGTGACTCTTCTCAGAATCTTCCAGTGACTCCCACCTCAGCATGAAAACTACACTCTTCATTATGTTATATGATCTGTGTGTGGGGTACCCTCGCCCGCCCCCATGTACCTCGTCTTCACCCCTTCCCTCTGCTCATTCTGTCCCCACCCCACCCCCACTGGCTGCCTTGCTTTTCGGGCTCATCAGCCTCTCCCACATCAGTGCTTCTGTTGCTCCCTCACCTGAAACACCCCACCCGCCTGCACCTGCTCCCTTTGGCTCCTGATGCCTCTGGTGTTGCCATTCAGCTTTGCTCACACATAACCTTTTTAGGACCCCCCCAGCCAACCTCCATTAAATGTAATGTACCTAATTTCCTTGTTCTCCACAACATTTTACAAGACCTGACTTGCTTTTTTATTGTCAGTTTTCCTTATTGTCTGTCTCTCTGCTGGAATTTCCTCAAGACCTGGTGCTTTGTTTTGTTCCCTGACAAATGCGCTTGGCACATAGTGGGCATTTAGTAAAAATATTGATTGAGTGAATGAAGGAATTTTTGTGACTGAAGCTCATCGACATACTATGTCATGTTTTGTGGGTTTTAGATTTTGTTCATATGTATCACCTCACTTGATCAGCTCACTTTTTGTAAGTTATACTGAATCTAATTCTTATATTTAAATTGTATTGACTACTAATATACATCCTGATTTCCTTGGGAAAGTTTAAGTATGACCATTAAAATATACCCCCCATCCTGTTTGTTGGTTAGTTATGCAAGACCTATTTTGACTTAGAGAGCATTTCTTTCATCACTAGGTCCATAGAACTCACTCATAGTAACTTTTTATTGATTCCTACATAGTGAATTATTAATATAATTTACATTTTAGATAATCTGGTAATCTTTCAAGAACAATGCCATTTCTCATCCTTCATTTGCTTTGCTCTTGATCACTGAGGGGCTCCAGCATTGTCCAGTGTCCAGGAAGTTGCTAGGCCTTGCATGCTGTGCTGATGTGCACTGGTGCTGATGGTGGATATAGAGTGTTTGGTTTGATTTTCTTGTTTTGTTTTCTTCCTGCTGTTTGAATGGCATTTGAGGACCCCACTGGACTCTGCCTTGCACTCAAATTAAGTATTTTTGGCTACTGTATGTCACTTTTTATTAGCACAGCTGTGTCAAGTTGTTCCTGATTCCATTCTACTTCATCTACCCGCTTGGCTTCCTTCCTTAGCTGTTTGAGTTAGTCTGTCTACTGTTCATTTCACTTTGTGGACATCAAACTTCTATGATAGCAAGTGAGTCTGTATTTTCATCAGGCAGGTGCAGGTGACCTTTGTCAGATTAATCACTATTTAGTTCATTATTCCCATCAAAATACAAATGGCATCTGTCATTCAGAATTTGAGCCTGGAATTTTGATAATTACAAGGTACAAATGTGGCAGCTTGCTGCTGCCATTCTGAGCTAGTTCACCAGTCTAGAGAGAACATGCAGACAGTAAACTGGCAGAAATTTGATCTTGATATTAGCATGTATAGATGATTTTAGTTACGTAATCCATCTCACGATGAAGACTGGTCTTTGTAATTTCATATGTATAAGTGCTCTGCCTTGAGCACAAAGCAGTTACACAAAGATGAACAATCTATGTGGTTATTTCATAGCTTGCATGTGATTCTGAACTTAATTGGGGATATACTCATGGAGCCCTGGATTCTTTTAGGCCTGATGTAGAGACTCCTTTATTATCCATTTCTACGACTAGAACAGGAGGAGAGAGGCTGGGTGTTTACATTTCAGGACAGGGTAAAGTGGCTGCAGGTCATCCTGCGCTTCCAGGAGGGCTCTCTCCCAGCCCTGCTCATGATAACGATGTGCACTGTGTTTGTTTTCTAGACTTTGTGACATTTACTTCATTTGTGTTGGTTAAGTTTAATTACATATTTTGCTGATTGCTATCTATGGTCATTCTTCTCTTTACAAGTTAAGAATCTATCCATTCATAATCTTTTTTTAGCTTTTGTCTTAGTTGTGTTTTGGTTTCCCCAAAGTTGTTTTTCTGTTTTTAATCCTGACTTAATTCCTCCAGTGCTCAGGTTCAGAAGGATGCCAAGTGAGCTCTGTTCTTTATATTTCTATGTTGAAAAGCTAACATTTTTCATTTGGTTCTTCCACTGATAGGAAAAGAAGACTGAACTCACTGCAGCAGGTGTTTAGGTGGGGATGGGTGCTTGGGTTTGCTGCTCGCCACAAGCTTGAGTAGAGACAGGGATGTCATTATATATATATCTGTCTGTAGATCTATCTACCCAGCTAGCTAGCTATACATCTGTCTAGATATGGTCGATAGATAACTAGATAGATAGATAGATATCACAGGACTTCTCACCAGGAATTAAAAGCTTAAAAAATGTGGCTCTGGGAAAGATGCAACAGTTTCAACACTGGAGGTAGGGGGTGTGAAAGGTATGAGCTCAGAAGAAAACTTAATAATTTTTGATCTGAGGTGTCTAACTCACATGAGTAATTTCTCCTAGAGTGTGGCCCTTTCCAGTCAGATCAGTTGGTGCTATCGAGCTGGTATTTCAAGTATGTCCATCTGCATTTAAACGAATTGCTCCAAGACAATCTGATTATGCGGTAGTTACTTTGGTGAGAATAGCGCCTCAGTGGAATGGAAACTTCATTTTGAGTCTAATATTAGACCTTGCTTTGGAAAATTCCTTTTAAATGATCACAAGCTGGGAATAGCAAAAGAATTTAACTTTCGACAGACAGCATTCACCAAGAATTTTTAACTGCTTATGTTTGGTCCTTGGGAAAGCAGATGTGAGAAACTGACCAGGCTGCGTTGAGGAGACCAGAATCGACTTGACCTGATGCAGTGTTTATATCTATTGCTGATAAGTTTCCCTCCTAGTCTCATTTGCTCAAAATATTTTCATTCTTTGAGTGTGAGCACACTAAGGATGAAAATTGTTAGGATGCCTAATTGTCTAACAATCTAAACTTCTAGGCTTCCAGACATTGTTGCCTATAAAGGGTCTGAGGCACAGCGGAAAAGGGTGACAGACCTCCAGAACCAAAGCCAACTCCTGAGTAAGTGCTGGGAACTTGATCAGACCTGGCCTTCAGAAAATGTTTTTAGATTGTCTAGCTGGTTGTGTCTGAGTGAACTCTCCGACATTTGAAGTTTTAAGTAGACTTTATTTAAAGGATTCCACCCTACCCACCAAAACCACCCTGGCATTAAAAACATATATAAATATTAACTGGTCACAAGACTTCCAGATCCTGTCTGCTTGGCTCACTGAAAGGATTTTAGGTGCCTTGGACTGGGAAAACCAACACTAACTGGTTCTTGTACTGTTAGTATTTTAGAAAATCTTTCTGAAGTTGAAGTGCAGTTTTTGATCACAGTGTCCACATGTGATGTTGATGTTTTCTCACTGACATTGTTTCTGACACTCACAGCAGCCCTGTGCTGTGGCAGTTATTGTGAGCCTGGTTTTAGAGCTGAGCGTGAGGCTCAGAAAAGTCATGTCATTTGCTCGAGATCACACAGCGGGAAACAGCTAAGGCTTGTGGTGCTGGCACTCCGGTGCAGGACTGCTCAGCTTCAGCGCGTGCCTGCTGCCCACCCAGGCTGTCTTCTGCAGCAGCGGTGTAAAACTCTTTTATCCTAAGGTGCCTTTCATTTCTTTTTCCCTTTAAATATTTAAAAAATGGTTGAGGACCCTTGAACTTTGTTTTGTGTGAGTTGTGTCTTCTATATTTGAAGTTAAATCAGAATTTTAAAACATCTTACTAATTCATTTTTAAAGCACAATAAATCCATAACAGGTCAATATAAATAACACTTTCATAGAATTAATTCTATTTTCCAAAACAAAAATAATCAGAAGGGAATCATTGTTTCACCTTTTTGCATAACTCTCTTACCTAGCTGGATCTTCATTGCACGTTCTGCATTCGGTCTGTGCAGTTTTACTGTTTTCATTGAAAGATGAAAATCTGGCCATGCACAGATGTATGGAAAGTGCCCACTTAATGTCTCAGAAGGCTCTTGGAAACTGTGAAATAAAAGCAAGTTCTCAATAACATTGTTTAGTCCATGTCAGCTGGGATTTTTTTCCCCCCTCATCATCAACATTATAATAAAACATTATGTTAGAATCTCCTTTATTTGGGGGCTCGGGCATTTAATAGCCTTTTTGGACAAATGTACAGCAATACCTGTGGTAATATATCCAAACTCCACAAGTTATGGTTCTTGCAAAGGTTAGGTACAATTTAGAATCTGAAACTGTCCCCCATGGACTTGGGTGCATTTTGACATTGAAATCCTGCATCTAAAATCTTCCTTACAGGAGAATTTGCAGTAAGACATGTAAATGCTCCCTCACTCCAGGAAGTAGAGCTTAAGCCCTATCCCTCACCCTCTCTTTGGGGTTAGCTGCAGTTAGTGACTTGCTTCCAAAAAATAGAACCAGGGAAAAGAGAAAAATCAGTGCTTCTATCGTGGAGAAACCTGAGGAACTCGACCTTAACGAGGCAGGAGGTGAACAGCATCTGTGATGTTGTGTAAGCCCAGATGGGATGGAACTAGAAAACCCACAACCCCTGTTCTAATCATGAGAAAACCAAGCCATAGGACATTCTACAGGATTCCTGACCAGTGCTTCTTGATTGTCAAGGTCATGAAAAGCAAGGCAGAGTCATAGGGACCAAGCAGATGTGACTGCCAAATGCCCGGTGGTACTCTGGATTGGGTGCTGGGACAAAATGGGGGTGCTGATGGAGAAACTGGTTCAATCCAAATAAAGGCTGAAACGAATAGTGCCATGTCAATATCAATGTCTTAGTGTTGAGAATGTTAACATCAGGGTAATGTGAGATGTTAACACTGGAGGAAACTACTGTCTTTGCAACTTTTCTGTAAATCTAAAATTACTACAGAATAAAAGTTTATTTTTTAAAAACTCATGGTTATGGGGCCTCCCTGGCAGCGCAGCGGGCTGACCGCAGCACCGTGAAGCTGTCTGCAGCCTCTGCAGTGCGGGTTCGATTCCCATCCGGCCAGGGAGATTCCCACATGGCATGGCAGACCTCTCCTGTCTCGCCCACTGCTCCCCTCAGAGTGTGTTTCCGCCCTTCTGTCTGTTCTGCTCCCCGCTATGTCTCTGGTGAATCCTTTCACCCTCCTGTGCCTCTGGCCTATACCCTAGTTCTTGTATAAAAATGAATAAATCTTTAAAAAAAAAAAAAACTCACAGTTACGTCTTGTACTCTGAATCAATCACTGGCCTTCATGTGATTTGGTGATGCCATTGCCACATTCATTTGGAGAATGTTGGTTCGCTGAGTGATGCAGATCTCTGGAATGTTGACATCTTTCATTGTTCATTATGTTCTAAGTCACATTTTTGCAAATAATCTCTCTCTCTGTCTCTCATCAGAAAAGTCTTCACTGAAAAAGTCTTAAGATCATGACGGTGGATACAAATTTCCCCATATTCTCATTTCCCCCTAACAGCTCAGGTTTTACCATTGGCAGCAAATGCTATGCTGTTTTCCTTGACTTAGCAGGTTTGTTCTGTTCACTTTCAAGAGAATGTTCACCAGGACTCTGAGCATAACTACAGTTTTCCTGGTAGTCATTCTTCATAGAAAAGCCATGTTCACTTTAAAAAGTGGTTTGCCCAACTTGCAACTCAAACAACTCGAGTGCCTTTCCTCAGACACCACCTTGCGTGATTGAGGTGGCCCTGGATACTGCCCACTCATCACAGAATAGTGAGGGGCGGTACTCAGGGTCAGAACTGAATGGAAGCTGTCGTTTTCACTGTATGGTCTCGGAGCTTCTCAGAGCACTGGTGCCCCCTCCGTGCGCGTGTGGCGGAGACCCCAGTGGCGTGGGCACCTCATGCTCCCACTGTGTGCTTGGCTTGCACTCGGTCTCCTTTGCACCATTGGTTCCAATATCAACACAGTGAAAAGGGCCAGGGACATTTTAACGTCCTTATGAAAATAGTTTGACCTCACTGACCTCTTAAAAGAAAAACACTTTGAGAACTGCTCTCCTGAAGCAAAGTAGCAACAGTTGTTCAAAGCTCTCAAAGGAAGAGCTGATGTTACTGAAGACCTGGCCCCTCAAGAGGCCAACGGTAAGGTGGTGCATGCACACGCTCTGCCCTGGGGTGCCCTTGTGGCTGAGCTGGGCTGCCTTTGGATGGTCCTTGGAGCTTTTCCATTGGTTTATGGATATGTCTTGTGCCATTTTAAATTGCTGAAATGCTGACTTGATCATTTGGTGTCTGTATTTCTCCTGTATTTACCATAATCATGTAAGACTGTGTTTGTGAAATTTAGAAAATTGCCTCTTAAATTTTGGTGTTTTTTTTTTTCTTCTTCCTCTAAAGGTAAATCTCACCTGGCTATTGTGCAGCGAGTAAACAATGAGGGAGAGGGGGATCCATTTTATGAAGTTCTGGGAATTGTCACCTTAGAAGATGTGATTGAAGAAATCATCAAATCTGAAATTCTAGATGAAACAGATTTATACAGTGAGTAACATTGAGTGTAATTTCCCAAAACCTTTGCCTTTCTTGCCACATGGCTTGTGAGTCACTCGGCACCTAGCTGCTGCCTGCCTCTGTTTCTAATTATGTGCTCCGTGTTTAGGCCGTGTGACCTGTTGGTGTATCCGTCTCCTCATCGGAGGTCCTTGTCATGTTGCGTATCAGTGTTTGTTTTTGAAAAGCCAGTTGCTTCTAACTATTGATCTAGTCGTTACTTGTCTTGAACAGAAACTTATACTCTCAGTTTTTACATTTATTTTACATGTGAAAAAGAATGGTTCTTTACTAAATTTTCATTGTACACAACTAGGAAAATTGTTTTCAGATCATTTGCTGTTTCTACTTAAGGTCATAAATTCAGGGACTTAAAAAGTGAAGGGGATTTGTTAAACGTGTAACATCAGTTTACATTTCCTTGTTCCAAAAAACTTGGGCCATGGTAGAGATAATATTTGCAAGTATAGTTTTGCTGTCACAGTAGGAGCAAAATGGGGGTATAGGAGATAGGACTAGGTGCGGTACATGATAAAAATGTGTTTTTCCCCTTCTGTGCTGCTCTGCCTTCTTTTGGAGGGTGTTAGGATGGGGAGCGGCTTGGAGTAGGGCACAGGAAAGGGAGTACTCCTGGGCTGGGCATTGAATCTGAATACTGCCTCATTAAAGTCCGTAACTGGATTGATGAACTGTGGAGCTTAAACCTCTTCTTCAACCACACTCTTAGCAAAATAACACTCTTTCAAGAGTTTTCTGATGCCAAAGATGACCTAAGGTCTGAGATATTTCAGAGTCTGAAAGGTGGGATAGACAAATAAAACATCTGAGCTGTTTGTCTTATTTGGTTTTTAAAACTTAGAGGGGGAAATGGATGTTCAAATGGCCTGGGGCACCCAGACCAAACCAGCAAAGATTTTATTCAATCCTGCTTAGAAGGGAATGTCCTCATTTTAAAATTGAGTCTTTCATGTACCCAAAAAGAATACATGTTATATTTAGCTAATGACCTGCTTATAAAAATGTATCCTATTTCCCCCTCACATCTGTATAGTTCTTAAAAAACCAGCTCCTATGTGTTTCATCCTCTGGACACTTGGAGAGTAGTCGTCAGAGATGGGAGAGCATTGCTATTTGTGTGTTTACATTCTTTTCCTCCTTCCTTACAGTGACAATCTGTTACCAAGTGTGTCTGTATATTTATGTTTCTCCCAGGGGCAGTACTCATCATAAGAAAGATAATTTAGACATTTATGAGATCTTACATTTATGCTTAAGTTAGCTTCTTTTAAAGTTTGATTTAGACTGATTTCAGGCAGAAGTACTTGACCTATTAATAGGAGTTGCAGAACCTGTAGCTTCAGGTATATTCTTGGAGTAAGAGATCAGGGATGATTACTGCCTTTGCCATTAGCAGATTATATCGGGAATTTGTATTGGTTTATACTGTCAATTCTCCAAAGAATTTGGGCCAGCAGAAAATTTTAAGTAGTGATGGCTGCTTCCCTTGGACATGCCTAGTAATCGATCTGTCTTGGCCCAGATGTGAAATGGTCAGACCAAGACAGGATTCCTGGAGCAAGCATCGGGGTCTCATATATAAGCAGGTGTTGTTCTTGCTCATTACTTTATCCAGAAAAATACTTGAAAAAAGGTCTAGACCCTTTCTACATCATGGGTTGATGTAACCTACAACCCACTAGTGCCTGTCACCTATTTGTTTGGCACTGCAAACTAAAAAATTGTTGCAAAACATCAGAAGAATAATTGTCTTGTGACATGTGAAAATTATAGGAATTCATATTTCATACCCATGGTAAACTTTCACTGGAACACAGCCATGCTGATTCTTGCTCAGCTTTTGATGAACAGCAGAGTTGAGGTGTTGCAACACAGCCTAAAATATTTATCATCTAGCCCTGGACAGGAAGTTTGCTGACCTCTATTCCAGATCACTTTCTTCATATTTGCTTGACCTTGAGGATCTCATGGTCTGGTGTAGAAATAAAAGACTGTTATTAATAAAATATATCATCCTGTGAATGTGCTCTTATTTGTCTGCTAAGGGATTCTGTTTGTGCACCTATGTTTTCTTTTCCTGCAGAGGCCCAGACACGTCCCGGGTCCTCTGTAATATGGTGACTTGCTCACTGCAGAGTAATGACACAGAGTGGCCAGAGGCTGTCTCTCCAGGTCACCTGCTCCGTTGCTGTTGGGGGCATTGTGCTTCCACCCACCCCACGTGCATGCACCGTTGCTGCTCCTGGGAGTGCTGGCTGGTACTGACTGCATGGTGTCGCTAGACACTGGGCTGATTTGATGAGGATTCTCTCACCTCCTCCCTCTCTCCATGTGGGACTTGAGCGTGTCGATGGCTTGCAATCTAGAGAGAGAACCTAACTGTGCCAATGTAGTTCCTCCTCCTCATTCAGAAGAGTCCTGCTCTAATGGGGTGCATTTCCTCACTTTTGCCCTTTCTCCTTCCTCCCTCAGCTGATAACAGAACTAAAAAGAAAGTGGCCCATCGAGAAAGAAAGCAAGACTTTTCTGCCTTTAAGCAGACTGACAGCGAGATGAAGGTTAAAATATCACCCCAGCTCCTCCTGGCCATGCACCGCTTCCTCGCCACAGGCAAGTGCCGCTGTCGCAGTGGAGTGTCTGCCAGCCCTGGAGCTGCTCTGCCACCCGCCTGGGGTGGGCACGGGTGGAGGCTGCGCCTGGGGTGATGAGTAATGCCGCTCTTGTGTTTTGTTTCTTGTTTTTTTGTTTGTTTGTTTTGTTTTGTTTTTGTTTTGTTTTGTTTTTCTTTTTAAATTCTCTCCTCTCCTGTGTTCAGTGTCGGCATGAACCCTCAGACTTTACCAGGGGTGGACCAGTAACTTAAAATTGGTCTGAAAGGTAAGGATGAACGTTAGTGCCGCACTGCATGTGAATGGTAGGCCAGGTCGTCTGCTTCCAGCCCCACCCCGGGAGAGCCAGCTGGCACCAGGGCCGCAGTGCGACCCAGCACCCTGCCTCGGGGGCTGGACAGTCGAGTGGTTCTCTCTCCAGCTTGCTTCAGAAGAACAGTTGGACATCAGTGGTAACACAGGTGCTAGGTTTTGCAAAGAAGAAAAATATTTTCAGAATGAAATCTTTATCCCTTATGGTTTGAATGAAATCAGAAATTTTCAGAACTTTGGCATGGATTTCTTGATGGCCTCTTCAAATCAGATTGTTAATTGGGCCCAGTCTGGGAGAGGCGAGTGTTCACATTGTTAAAACTTCCAGCCCAGCCTGCACTGACTGCTCCAGAGAGGTCAAGGTTGAGTGGACTTAACAGACTGACTAACCCTTCTCACATCCCCAGATGGCTCGCTAGGTGAAGGGTGAGCCCTGTTGGCCAGGGGAAGTGTGAGAAAATCTGATAGTGCACTGTGGCTTGTATAAGACGACAGCCAGCGACAGGCAGCCATGCCTTTCAGCTGCTTACAGTGCACTTGAAGTACTCTGAAGGAAGACGGGCAGCAACCACGTGGTGGAACATTACACTCTTTAAAGATCATATTTTTTTCAGATACATGGAAATGCTCAGTTTAACATTCTTTATGTGGGAAAATACTGCAAATTCATTGTTAAATGAGGAAAAAGTCAAGCTTGCAAACCGTGTGTACAGTAAGAGTATAGTTGTGTTTTTGTGTGTACACACACAAATGGCTCCAAGATGGCTCGTAGTGGTTATGAATGGCTGGTCGTTTTTATATCCTCCTCTTTATCTTTTTCTGTATTTTCCAAAATTTCCACAGTGCACTGCCTTTCCTTGTTACTACAAAAAGTCACAAGAAGCTAATACGGAATCTGTTGTTTTCAGATAGCAACTGAAAAAGCATATAAACAAGATGTCTAATTCACTCACTATTCTTTTACTGATTCTGATATTATTCTTCATCATTCAGGAGCCACAACTTAAAACCAGATGTCAAAAAGCCCAGTTTCAGAATAGCACCCTGGTTTTTATTATTCCTAAATAAGAATGATATCTTTGTAAAGACAAATCAACAGTATTTTTTTTTTTTTGAATTAGCAAATTGGAGTGCATGTCTGTGTGTGCACGCACCTTGTCTTGACTGAGTCTCCTCCTCCCTCCAGCCCGCTCTCTCAGGGGAGCTGAGTGGAGAAGGGCCATCAGCGCTGCAGCGCGGGGCCCTCACTCATGCCTGGCCGCTTCCTGACCCCGCTTCGTCCAGTGGCTGTTGGGGCAGTCAGGGAAAGGCAGACTGTTGGGGCCTGTTGAAGGGCCTCCTTTCTGGCTACCAGGGAGCCTGCTTGTGGTTGAATTTCATTTCCGTTGGTCCGAAAACTAGGGTATCTTCATAAGAACTGAAACCAGTGACAGGTTAAAAAGGAAAATTTTAAAAGGAACAACTGTGAGAATTCGGTGTTTTCTAATTTCTCCCAGGTAATCTGCCCCCGGGGCTCGCCAAACAGAAGTCTCCTTAACTCAGACTGTATCACTTTGATTCCAAGTATCCTCATTCTCTAAACACCTTAATCACTAGTGTAATTTTTTTCCATCCACTTGAAGTGTAATATCAAGTTGTGTTTATATCTATAGAAGTAGAAGCATTTAGCCCATCCCAGATGTCAGAGAAGATCCTTCTAAGGCTGCTAAAGCACCCCAATGTCATCCAGGAACTGAAGTATGATGAGAAGAACAAGAAAGCCCCCGAATACTACCTCTACCAGCGAAACAAACCTGTAGACTACTTCGTTCTCATTTTGCAGGTCAGAAGAATTATTCAATAGTTTTTTGGGCTCACTGAGCACCACCCTTCTGGTTCAGAGGAGGCGTGGTGTAGGTAAATGGGTTAACATGCTTCTCGGGTGGCCCTACGTGTGGGAGAATAACACTTCCCACTTTTCAGATTTGTGAAGTAATCCAACATGAAGCAGTGTCATTGGTTACTTTATTTTCAATACTGAGGGGCACTTGGTGATTGCTGTGGCACTGGTCAGTTGAATAGCCGTAAATTCGATATTTTGAAGAATTTGGGGAGTTGCCTGCACATATCCAGATCTTGGCCGGCCTTTTGAAATCCAAGTGTATGAGTTCTTGGGTCCTCTTTTTATCATCTTTTTCCCCCACCCATCACTAGGACTTGGTCTTAAACAGTATCCTAGCGATAACTCAATATCTCTTTCCTTAATATCACCAAGATAATCCATTTATTATTTTTTAATTCCTGGTTACTAACTAGACTCTGCCTTATAGAGGAATTGGTGTGCCTCTTAGGGTAGCAGGAGCTGAGTTGCTTCTCACTGTAGCATCACCCCCCATGTAAAGTGGGAAGGTTGATCCCTCCCATCTGGTCCTATCTATCTGGGGGACTTTGGTCTTGAGCTGACAGGAGCCCATCCTAACATCAGCTTGACTTAGTAGGGCACTGCCCCTCCCGTGGAGCCCAAGAGGAACATTACAATGAATAAAGTGTGAGTTTTGCCAACTTCTTATACCTCTTGTAGAAGACTTACTTTCCTGTTCCTATATGCAAGAAGACTGGTGCCATATTTTTTTTATTATATCCTAGATATGAATTGGAGGTATCTTCATGAGTGTATAGTTGGTACTTGTTTCATAGTTTATGTGCGTCCAGCGAGGTCCCAATTACTTACATGAATTAAGAAGATTAATATACTTGAAAATAGCTCTGATCAGGCATCTAGACATCGGAAACTCTGGACAGTGTTGTGTTCATGTGTGACCTCCCATCTGGGCAATAGCGTGGCATCTGGGACCCTAGAAAAGCCGTGGAGTAACTCACTGCTCACTGCTTTCACCTCTTCTTGTGGAGCAGTCTGTTCACAGGTGTTCCAACTCAGGAGCCTGATTCTTCTGCTAGTCTGTCTCCTTCAGCCCTTTTTCTCTGGAGGTAGACAGGCTTGAGTCTCTGACCCTCTGAGGGGCTGTCGGGAAGGAATTTTATTCAGTGCAGGAAGAGGACAAGCCATGGTGTTCTTATGAAAACTAGATGTGACCATGTCTTAAACCTAATGAAACTTTGTTTACATTAATGACACTTATTTTGAAGAAGTTTGAGGATTGATCGTGTGAATTTTCATAGTAATGTTAGAACCTCCTGTGGCTTTGAATTTCTGTTTCTGTGTAATTGGCATTGGTGAAACTGCTCTGATCACAGTTTTCTGGCTGATGGATCAAAAAACATTTTTGTGGACAAGGGACTTTGTAATCTCTGTCCATTTAATCTTCAAAGATATTTGATAAGGCACTTTTGTATATGTACTTGTATTCGAGTGCCAGATGTCACAGTAAATATTTATGTAAATGTGTGACAAGTTTGTTGAGCCAGTCGTCACGGGTTTTAGAAATAGTGTGTTGCTGGATTGAAAGACTGTATGGAGGTTTAAACTATAGAGTTTGGTGAAAATCATGTTCTCGCAGTCGTCAGTTACCTAAAGTGCCAAGAGGGTAACAAGGCGAAATACCTTAGTAGCCTTGTCAGCCTAGTGTGGGTGCCATCATTTGCAGAGTACATCCCACCCTCTCCTGTCACTGACCCAACACTGGAAATCCATGCCAGGTGACTAGGCACGTTTCTGGAGCCTAAGTCAGGAACAAGCAACTCATCTGCCTTCCGGGCCCCCATGCCAGTGAGCATGCCCTCTTCCACAGCCTCAGAAAAAAAAAACCTGTCTACTAAGGACTTGATGTTTGGATTATAATGTCAAATAAAAAGACATTGCTTTCAATTTAAATTGTAGATGAAATAAAGTCTGATGTATTCAGAGCAAACAATTTATGTAAGTTGATTAAAAGAATATCAAAAGCTAGAACTTTGAGTTTTATCTGAAAAAGTAGTGTCTTAAACTAAAATGTGTTCAGGGGTCAATAAGGGCAATGGTAAAAGCACAATATGACTTCATGCTGAAGTCACTCAGCAACAGAGAGGAACATAGTTGGGGTGAAAAATTCCCTCTCCCCTCCCCCCCCCACACATTGTTAAAAAGGAAACATACCAAGAAAAAATATTGGCATTTTAAATTACATGACCCGTAAAATGAACACAAATTTTGAGAAAATTAAATACAAAGCCAAGCAGGGAAGTAATTTTTAAAAAGTTTTATGTGATTGTTAAAAAGTAATCACTTCTCTGTCACATGTGCGGTCTAGTAAATTCAAAAAGAAATTTCATAAAACCACCTGCATAAATCATAATAAAATTAAATTAAATGTAAAAATGCACCATTGCAAAGTACTAGGTACTCTAACATCGTGATCAATTCTCTTCCAGTGGCTTACAAGTGAATGTGTAGGAAAGGGTGTAATGTGGGCTCATTGAGTTTAAAAAAGAAACCAACTCTATTCATTTTACAGAACACACACAAACACCTGAAATCTCTGGACAGTTGCTCCAACTGGTAACAGTGGTCATACCTACGGAAGAGTCTTAGAGTACTGAAAATAGGGTTGAAAGGAGATTTGAATTTCTTAAATTCAGTGTGTGCTACTTATTTAAGTAAATAATTATTTAAGAAATAGAATTTATGACAAATTAAAACCCCCAAGTAGCAGCGGTTGAGTGCTGGGTTGCAAAGCTGCCCGCAGCTCTGCAGCTCTGGTTCTATACCCAGCCACGGAGCAAGGGTCCCACATGGCACGCAGACCTCTCCTGCTGCCCACTGCTCCCCTCAGCAATGAACTTCGGTCCTTCTACCTGTTTTGCTCCCTGCTCTGGCTCTGGTGAATTCTCTTACCCTCCCGCGCTTCTGACTGTACCCAGTGCTTGTATAAATAAATAAATCTTTAAAAAAAAAAAAAAGAACAAAGCTGTAAGCTAAAAAGGAACTCAAATAATAGAGAAATTGTCATGAAAAGAAATTTTAAAATGAAAATATCAATCCATCGATAAAATTTGATTCTTATAAGATTAAAAAAAATTAGGATTCTATTAAACTAATGTGATAAAAGGAAAAGCAAAATGAGTTCCTTCCCACCCTAAAAAGGCAGCACGAATCAAAGAATTTGTAGAAAAAAATCAAAATTTTAAGGAACTCTGGGCCTCCCCAGTGGCGCAGTGGTTGAGCGCTGGGTTGCGAAGCTGCCCGCAGCCTCTGCAGCACCGGTTCGACCCCCGGCTGCTCCCCGGCCACCAGAGGAGGGTCCCACATGGCGCGCAGACCTCTCCTGCCGCCCGCTGCTCCCCTCAGCAGTGTACTTCGGTCCTTCTGCCTGCTCTGCTCCCCGCTCTGGCTCTGGTGAATTCTCTCACCCTCCCGCACTTCTGACTGTGCCCAGTGCTTGTATAAATAAATAAATAAATCTTTCAAAAAAATTTTTTTAAGGAACTCAATTTCTGTTTTATACCTATAGAACAGGATAGTTTGACAGTCAGATACATCCTTTAAGTCCAATATCAGCTTAATCTAAAATCCAGTAGTAATACCAGCCAGTCTCACTTGTCAACATTGATAGAAGATCCTGAAATAGAAGGACCAGTTAGAGAACAGAAACACACTCCAGGGGCTGGTCGCTGTGACTGTGACTGAATTAGGTTAATTGTAGGAATGCAGGGCTGGTTCGGGGTATGGACAACAAACCATAATATGCCCCACTAACAAGGAGAGCAGTGAAGCTCACAGTACTTTTCACTCATACAGACAGCAGGCAAAACTAAACATCCATTCTTGATTTTAGAAAACAACCAAACATCATCTTTTTAAAAAATCCATGGAGAATGTAAACAAAAAAAGGCAGCCTCTTTTGGGAATACGTACATACAATTCTTGGTACATGTGCTTCTAAGGAAATCATTGTTTTATAAGGCTGTGTGTGCAAATCTATTACTTTTAAAACAGCAGAAATAGTGCATGTAGACATCTAAGCTAACCAAATTGAGAGATGAGGGGTCATTGTATAGCCACAAAAGATGTAGACAGCATATACAAAAACATCAAGTGAAAAAGCCAGTGGTGCACAGTTCCTATAATGGTTACAGGCCCCGCTACTAAGAAAAATAGTTGGAGGGTGTTAGATCATGTGTATTATCTATGCAGCCACTGTCTTAGAATGAAGGATGCTTTGGTCCTTTGGGGAATCAAATGTCTAAGAAACCATGTAAAAATCATAACTCTTACACAGGCGCATAACCAAATTGATTTCAAAAAGGCTGGCTTTTTTCCTTTGCCAACTGTTTAACTCATAGAAAAGAACACATTTATTTTCTGGTATTCTTTTTTCTGGTTAATTTCATGCCTTCTGTTTGTTGTCATTTAACTATCCCATCCTTGCTCATTTTAGGGCTTTTGACATTTTAGGGGCTCTTCCCAATCCCCTTCCCGTAGAGTGAAATCTGCTCTGTGGAGGTGGAGAGTGGATCTTAGAGCACAGCCCTCGTTAATATTATACTTAATAGCATTTCACCTGCTGTCGGGTATTAAGTCCTTAATAGCCAACCTCCTCATGAAATTTTGAGTTGCAAGATCTGCATGTTCCAGGGAGTGATGGAGCCTTGATCTTGAATCAAGTATGGATAACACTCGTTTTGAAGAAAATATTACTTGTATGTCCAGCATAGAGCCTATTTTCTCTTTAATTATGCCACTTAAATATAAAACTAGGGCTTTTATATGTGAAAATAGAAAACTAGGCATCAGCTCCTTTTGCTTAGAACTCTTACATACAACTATAAACCCAAATAGATTGACAGTTGATACTAAATCCTTAATGGGCAGATAACCTTGTTTGGCTACTAGGAGGTGGGCCTGGT